CAGGTTCCGAGCTGTCAGCACAGAGCCCGATGCGGGGCTCAAACTCATGAATCGCAACATCACGACCTAAGCGGAAGTCTGACGCTTAACCGACTGAGCCACCCAGGCGTCCCTCAACCTTTTTTAAAATTATTAGTAGTAATCGTCCCACTAAGGAGCCTTTTGGGGCCCAGTTTTTTCCTAATTGCCACTCCCCCAAAACATGAACACCACAGAGGGACTTTGTATCTGTTTATGTTCCGTTTACACATATTCTGTCATATTCTGTATGTATATATTGTGTTCAGTAAACACATCTATAGATTGTGTTCTGTATGCATGTGCGCGCGTGTGCGCGCCTGTGTGTGTGTGTGCACGCGCGCGTTTTGACATAAAAAGATTAAGGTTCTTTTCACCCTCTAAGAATGCATTTTTGCCCTGTTGGGAGCGATATCGCCCACCTTTGGGAATGCATGACTGTAAGAAAGAGGGAGATGAGCACCCACGGCCTGTGAGCAGCTGTCGAGATTCAGCACCGATGCTCTGGCACACGGGTCACAGAGGGAAGGAGGGACAAGTGAAGGGGAAATGGCATCTCGACCGCAGTGGGAGAAGCCTTGGAGAATGAAGTGTAACTGAGCACTTGAAAAACCACAGACATCTTCCCTCAAAAAAAAAAAAAAATTGTTAAATGAAGGGGGACAGATCCCAACCCAAATCCTGGCCCATGGCTTTGACAAATAATACTTAACATCTGACACCATTTTTAAATATAACTTAGCAACAAGACCGTTCTTTCGTTTTTATTTCTATTCCAGGAATTTCTCCTCCCCCTCCACTGTTCATAGTTTTCTTCTGGCTTACTGTCTGTTTCTCTTGCTCTCCCTTCCTTCCCTTCCCCATCTCTCTGCCACTCTCCTGAGTTCTCTCCTCCACTGTCTCTCCAGATCTCCACGGTCTCTGTCTCTCTGTCTCTTAGCAAACCATCTCCATCCCCCCATGCTCCTGCCAAAGTCTCAAGAGATTCTGAGGCTCATAGAAGCATGTGCAACATGGAGCAGGGTGGGGGTTCTGAAAGACCCCAGAGGGTTGGAACATTCTGGAGGGCCCACCAGAGCTCTGTCCCATCTTAGTATTGGCCACATGTCCTGGGATAGTTTAGGAGACTAAGCATCTCCTTGGAATGCTTCAGGTCCAGCCAGATATATTGGCCATACCCTAATCTCTCCAAAGCCCCATAATACTAGAACAGAACCCCGGTGTGCCCCATCCCACCCCCACACTGACTGACACGTCCTGCCCCCTCCCCCAGCCAAGTAGCGGACAAGTCGGGGGACGGGGAGGGGGCACAGGCAACATCCTGCCGGAGTCTCCCTCCTGCTCAGCATCCGCTTGGCACAATCCTTCATTCCCCTGCCTTCTGCTCTCATCTTCTTTCTTAGTTCATCCCTCCAACTGGGGCAGGAGGAAAAAGAACCAGAAGGCTGAATGACGGGTTGTGGATCTGTCTGGAATGCACGATAGAGTCTAAAGTTTTAAAAATTATAAAAAGAACACAACTCCTGGTTAAAGAGAGCTCTCTGCTTCTTTTACGAGACACACTGTGTTCTCTCTGTACTTACATCTTTTCTGTTGCCAGTATTGTCTCCCTCACTAGGTTCTAAGAATATCTGGAGCGGAACAATCTTCTTATTTGTTTTTCTTCTGAGTCCTCTGCCCATTTCCAGCACCCAGGTTTTTCAAGCTTTCAATGAATTAGGTCGAAAATAAGTCCTACAAATTGGTATCGATTTGAATTGTATTGATTGGCATTAATGGTCCTGCTGATCAGGGTACAAGAAGGAAAAAAAAAAGCTTCATTTCAAATCTCTGTGTTGATAATTTTCTTAACCCTATACCAAGAGTCAGCAAATTGTGACCTGCAGGTGGGCC